ACGACCAAGGCAAGACACCAATATGGACGTGCATTGGCATTCTTTCTTAAGCCCATGGCATAAGCGCTGGCCCATGCACCAAACAAATACATACTGCCTAAAATGGGTGCCGACAAAGCCAACTGCTTATTCGACATAAAACTTTGTGCCGCCACAGAAAACGAAGGCACAATATATCCAAGCCCGAGCCACAATAAATATGAGGGAGCCCTAAAAGCAAAATGACATATTAAAAGCAAGCTTCCCATTAAAATCAGGCAAGCTGGAACAATTAATATAAAATAGTGGATATCTGTAAAATTCACATTTGAGGTCTTTGGACTGAAATTGAGGAATGTTTACCTTAGATCATGAAGTTTAGAGCATTTTTTGACTAACGCTCAATCGGTCAAAAGAAATTATTTTTAAATTTTGCACGTAAAATTAACTTTAAGCGCTTGCCCACCAATACGGCAATGCGGTTGTTTTTAAGGTTTTTCGATGCTGTTGAAAAGCGGCATCATAATTAGCAACTTCAGCCCAAAAACGTGCACTATGATCAAAATGTTGCGTATGTGCGAGTTCATGCACACAGACATAACGGGTAATGGCTTCAGGAAACAACACTAAAGCACTGTTAAGCATGATGTCATGTTTGGCACTACAACTCCCCCAGCGGGTCTTGGGCTGACGAATTGAACATTGTGCAAATTTTAAACCAGTTTCATGACTAATCTGTTGCAAATAAACAGGCAAGTGCTGTTTGGCATATGCAATCACAAAAGATTTTAAATAACTTTCAGGCTGACGGTCACTGATCCAAAGCTGGTGATTATCCTCATCCAAAATATATGCATTTTTTTGTGTTTTATAGCTCACCGTTAAAGCTTTTTGGCGATTAAATAACCGCAACTCTATGGGAAGGGTTCGATCTATCTGTACCAGACTGGCTTGTTGCTTCTGCCAAGTTTCAACCATCCACTGTTCAGATTGATTTAAAAAATCCTGAATTTGCCGTTTGCTACAAAATTTAGGCACGGTTAAACGAATTTGAGTCGGTTCAACACGAAGTCGTAACCGGGTCGCACGTGCATGATGGGTGATTTGAATTTCAGGTAGGTCTGCTAAGGTCATTAATATTATTCTTTTATTGAATCATCCTCCCCAGCCCTCCTTTTGAAAGGAGGGAGAAAAACATAAGATAAAAATGTTTTTGCTTTTAGCCCCTCTTTTTCAAAGAAGAGCTTAGGGAAGATTTAAAATTAAACAGCGGTACGTTCTTCAATACCGCTGTCTGTTGCAACAACTGCCACATCTGCTTTATTGATTGCAAAAATACCATTACACACCACACCTGGAATGTCGTTAATGGTTTTTTCAAGCTCAAGCGCATTTAAGATGTTCAGGTTATAAACGTCTAAAATCACGTTACCGTTATCCGTCACCACGCCTTCACGGTAAGCAGGATCACCACCGAGCGCTACAATTTTACGTGCCACAGCCGAACGAGCCATTGGAATCACTTCAATCGGAAGTGGGAAGTCACGCCCCAATTGATCGACCCACTTAGAGTCATCAACGATACAAACAAATTTTCTCGCAATTGAAGCTACGATTTTCTCGCGAGTAAGTGCAGCCCCACCACCTTTGATCATATGCATATGACGGTCAATTTCGTCTGCACCATCTACATAGGCATCTAAACTGCCGACAGAGTTCATATCAACCACTTCAATGCCTAATTTCTTTAAGCGCTCAGCCGTTGCTTCTGAACTTGCCACAGCCGCTTCAAGCTGAAG